GTGCCATATACTGAAATGAGTTTAGAAATATTTTCTAAGAAATTATCACCGCGAATAAATTGTTAGGACATGTTACTGAGGATATTTTGTTGGTTTACGATTGAAGTTGACATTGTTATTATCAGGAAGTCTTTAGCGTTAATTCTTTGCACTCGGAATGACAACTCCAGAAACTAGTATAGCTCAAAACAGGTTCTACATTAGCAAAGTGAATACTTAATAAATTGTTGAAAATATTTAAGCAAGGTATAAGTACGCAAAGTGCGGATTTTATGCGTTCACGTAAAAAATGAGCAGATAAATTACAAAATCGTGTAGGTAAATAGAAGGATTTAAAAATATTTCTCTAACCTTTCTCACTTATTAAAGTTATTGAATGAGATAATATATATTTAGAGATAATATATATTTAGATAATTAAATTAAGAGAATAAATTAAGATTTTTAAACAGTGTCTTAAGAATTCCAATTTCCACTGTCCACTTTCTTCGACGACCGAGTGAATCATAGTTTTTCCATTTTTTGTCATATCCATTCACCTATCCGTCTAGTTTCTAGAAAAGTAGTTTGCTGCAGCTAGTAATTTCTGCTTTCACTGTGAGCTATCCTAGATCCCGGTGTCTGTTGTCGTTCGAACTGTTTAGTTCTCAGGCGATGAAAGATAAATTCTGCTAACTGGTGAAATGGCAGTTTTTATGTATTCCTTAACTATGCATTTACTTAAATTCTACTTACTTAAACTCAGCTTATTATAAATTTTTTTTAACGAAATGACGTAATTATATGGTTTTTGTAAGGTCACAGCTTAAAATCATTTGCAAAGAATGAACTTGGCAGATTCATATCGTTTGGGATGCAACGGTTCATGCGAAACATACCAAGAGACATAAGTGAAGCTCAGTGTTCCTGATTAACCCCTTATCTTATTGTTTATTTCAATGCTATGGTCTCAAGATTACTTTGTCAGCAATTATTCCTTAGTAGGAGAAGTCATACATATATTCATTGTTGGTGTATATTAACTGTAAAAATAGAATGTTTATAAATTTCACCGAAGTGAACTAAGTATATTCATATTTATTAAATTTAATCACGTGTCAAACATGATATTTTAAGGTAGAATCTTAGAACCTTGTTGACTTTGGACGGCAAGGCTTGGATCTAGTATGACTCAGAGTATCAAAATCGTCATTTGGACCCTCAGTATTCAACTTCCAGCGATTAATATTGTTTTGCATTTTAATTCGACAAACTATCTTTGATCATAATTTACTATATTTTATCTAAATATGATGATTATATAAATATACTAAATCAAACAATTGATAAATAACGTTATAGATAATCTTTAGCACTCTCGGTTGTATAATTGTCAAAAAGGTCCGTTACTCGAGGGTTAACAGACTCAATGTTCACAGCGCTGTCTGAATGCATTCAAACTTCCCATTTTGTTGTTACCAGCTATTTCCAGAAATGTCTGAGAGAGTGCACCGGTTCTACCAAGCGTTTATTGTCTCGACGTTATTAGTACAGTTGTTAAAAGCCTGGGAATAATATAAAATTAAGAGTTGAAGGTAATAATAAAGAAAAGTAATTAAGAATCTTAACGGTACCATGAGAAAAGTAGATGGCAATGTTCTTCAAAGAATTTATAGTTATAGTATTTATAGTTTTATAAGTTTTATAACTTCACACTCCGAATAATTATTACAGTTTTGTCTATATTGAAGAAAGTGAATCAACAAGGTGAGCAACAATTTCTGACTTCAAGAAATTCAAGAAATTATCTTAACAAACGAATCAATTAACGTACATTCCGACGCATCAATTGTTTGCTAATAGAGTAATGTCTCTCTAATTGACGCCCAGATTGCGCACAAAAATGGACAATTTGGGAAGAGAAGATACGATTATTCGAGCCTTGCGGTTTATTTTTATACTTATAAATTGTTCATAATTATAAAAACGAGCCGCAAGGCTCGAATAATCGTATCCCAAAATTATCCATTTTAATGGACGATCTGAGCGTCAGTAAGGGAGACATTACTGTAGTTTGCAATCGTTCCGAACGTTATCATAAAAGATCTATGGAATAAAAAAGATTTGATTTCAAAATGCCCTATTTTGATATTTGTGGATAACAAATGGAAGCTACGACTTCAATTACTCATATACTTTAACAACAATTTTATTTAATTCTTACATTTTTCTCAGTTCCTCCGTTCCTCATAGCTACTTCAATCTATGTCAAAGCTAACTTTCTTAAAATGTAAAAGAACTGTCGCGTGTTCAATTCAGTTATGTGTCACTTATATATGAACGAGAGTTAATATTATACATGTATAATTATTGGAGGGAAGTATCGAACACGTACCACGATTGAAAAATGTGTAACTATTGGAAGAAAGTATCGAACACGCATGAGGGTTAAAAGATGTCCAATTAATGGAAGAAAGTATCAAACACGTTCGTGGATTAAAATATATGTAATTATTGGAAGAAAGTATTAAACACGTTCGAGGGTTAAAAGATATGTAATTATTGGAAGAAAGTATCAAACACGCTTTGACACGCTTCATTAATTTAACAATTCACACCGATGTCTCTTGTTTGCCGGTGTCAAGTAGAATATCGTTTAGGACGGAACGCAGTGCCCCGCAGGAGAGGTGCAAGATAAATAAACGAATAAATCGGAGAAGATCGGAGATAAAGAAATGAAAGATTGATAGGGCCGGAAGAATGTAATTAGTTGGGAACACGGTGTTCAGGAAGCGGTTGGAAACCGCGTAACAGAAAAGTGTGTGGGAAAATGACTGAGAACTTACACTACGAGAAGGGACCACGAGAGATCGTTCAACGTGGAAATGGCATTTTTTTTTGCTGAATCGTTTTTCACACGAGTATACAATGCAGTTTAATCTGAGATTCCCCGGTATCTCTTCTAATGGCATCGAATGAACGCCTTGCAGAACACAGTGTTCGATCATGTAACAAAAGAAAACCACAATCGAGAAAATCGCTTTCTTTTTGTTGTAGTATAATGCAAAATAGGCCACGTTTAATTCACCTGCCACTAATTATGCCGCTGTAATTGCTGCCAGCCGATCTATTCTTTTTAAAACGTTATAGGTTATCGTCTGAAGAAACGTTATGAACTGTTGCATTTCAATGGCGGTGATCGTTATTAAATGTGTATTTAACATACAGAATCAGAAAATTTCTAGAAAATTCAAGCAATATATTTAATCACTATTTAACCAAAAAAAAAAGAAACACTCAATGTATCAACATGAAAGTGTACTAGTTTAATAAATCTGCGCACCGTATTCAATTGCAGTCACGATAATCGTATCGTTTTTATTGCAAACAATAATATATAATTACGAAAGGCACGAAAGGTACGAAAGGCAGAGAGATATGAAAATAAATATGTTCTTTTAATAACGTCTTTTAAATCAGATGATTGTGTTCCGTTAACATCATAATTAAATATAATTGAATTGAATTTTTTTCTTGCACTGTTCTCCCATTTTACTATATGGTATCTTGTTAAACTGGCAGCTGTTGCGTCTCCAATTTTCCTGTTTCGCTGAAGCGTAGAAAAACAGCCCCTTCTACATTCGTTCGAATCCACCGGTCTATCGATCAGCTTTGCAGAGTAATTCTTACAAAAACAGCTCTTTATTTTGGGTCTGAGAAAAATATATCATCAAATATCTTGAGAGAATTATACTGCAGCTTCATTACTTATTCGAGTTTCTTAAAAAACACTACAAAAAAGTCTAATTATATAGTATATCTCATCCTCAATTTGAAAGGCTGTTTAGTTTTTAAATGGAATTAACAGTTTATAAAAACACATCAAATATTTTTAATTGTACTATTTAGTTTTAATCGTAAATATTGTTAATTGCACCGTTCTCGTTAGCAATTATTTCATGGCGTGTACGATCTTATACGCATCGCAGAAAGAACGTCAAAGTTCATTTGATAATATAATATATTTGAATAAATTTTTACTAAGCTATGAAGAAAAATATATGAATATTGAAAACTGTGCGAATCAATTTTGTTTTACATATTTTCGAATTTAGTAGCTAATAGTTCGAATAAGTTGCCAGAAAAATAGAGTTTACATTAACTATGGATCAAAATGAACCTAAGCACCGGCATTCAAGGGTCAATATCAGCTGAGACATAGTGGGGAATCAGTTAACTAGTGGTAGAACTCGCTGACACGTGCGGCTCCAGCCGGAAAAGGAGTCTGTCTCGGAATTGTAACTCAATTATTGAAAAAGTTCGTGAATTTTGCTAATTCTTTTTTAACAAGGTCTAACGAATATTAAGAAAAAAACCTGCCATCCATGATTTCCAAGAATCACATTCGTTCTAATTGAACACCGATACAAATGAATTTCTAAACGTATCTGGATTGTAATTATTCGCAAAGATGTTTGCATCTAGCCAGTGTGAAAGAAGTTTTTCCATTTTCTTCGCGGTACCGTTACAATAGATTCTGTACACGGATAAACAAACACGCAACGTTTCAAAACAATAGCGCGCGAGCGTTTTCATTGAAATACTAAAAGCATTCTGCTTTTTCACAGAGGAATAATCCCATACTATTGTACTTTAAGTCATCACATGATCGGTCATTAGCATATTATCTCAAGAACTCAAAATGCAACATTATAACTACTTTAGAGAAAGTCTATCAAGGCTTCAATCCATTTTAACTGAAATCTCTCTGGAAGCTTATCGAAAGAAATAAATTATTATTCAAGTCGAGTCTCTACAAAAAAAAGATCTAGGAACGTTCTTTTTTGTACGAAGATCCGTCAAAGTCCAGCCATAAACCTAGTTTATTCCAACTTTCTCATTCTTCGTGGACTCTGAACGAACACACATCGTTCAGCATCCGTTCGGAATACGTTGGTTTCGAGTGCCGAGTCATAGACTGCGTCTAGCCAACAATAAGAATGAAAATGAAAAAGACGAACCTCGCAGAGCTAAGGCAACGAAGAGCAGAAGTAGCGCAGCGGTACTCTCCATTTCTTCATAAAAAACTGATCTCAACGGGAAACGAAGTCAGTCTCTTCACAACTACTTCCGGCAAAACACTTCAGACGCGGAAACGTTACTAATCCAGCAAGGGGTAGGAGGCACTCTTTGCAATCCCAAGTGTTTTTTTTTTCACCGTGGGGCTAACGTCATTTCGGCAACCGTTCCCGAAGAGTCACACCTGCAACCGGAAGTCCTCTCGAGAGATGTGAACCTTCTTTTCTGTTTCTTTTTTATTTTGGTTTCTCTCTTCCGAAGCCGAGGAAAGTATCGAAGCCGCGGCGTTAAGCTCAAGGATGCATGAGGCCGGAGAGCGACCGACGTGAGACGATCTCTCCTGAAGACTGAGGTGCTCCGATACATGGAAGCAGCGTTGTCAGAAACGGGGACAAACGGGACACCGGTGACGTCACGCGTATAGTAGAAGTGGCGATTGGGGTGTAGAAGGGGAACGGATTAGTTCTTATGGTTGGCAGTGAACGGCGTTAGCGTCGATTGTGTGCGCCGGTATCTTCCGCGCTCACTGCCAGAGGGCTGACTACTTGATCCCTTTCCCTCGACTACTCGATCTCTCATCGTTTCGTATACCCTTCTCGATCGTCCTTGTAAGAGCCCCGCGTCTAAGGGCTCGTCAGAACATGTCTCAACACACACACAGATTCGTCGACTCTACATTAACCCGAGAAAGATAACCTACGTCGCAGAGGCGCCTGCGAAGACTGTTGATTTTTGTTAATTTTTCATAGAGGTCTAGTGATTTAAGTTTAAAATTACTTAAAATATAAAAAAATATAATATAAATGCATTTTATTTTTACAATAATGCCAAACCTTTAAAATGACTAGATTAACTTAAATAAATATCCATTGTTAGTATAAAATTGACGCCTTAGAAAAGCATGCGCCTCTGAAGCGTATGGTTATCTTTTACGCTGTCTCTTATACACATCTTACATTAACCCGAGAAAGATAACCTTCGTCGCAGAGGCGCCTGCGAAGACTGTTGATTTTTGTTAATTTTTCATAGAGGTCTAGTGATTTAAGTTTAAAATTACTTAAAATATAAAAAAATATAATATAAATGCATTTTATTTTTACAATAATGCCAAACCTTTAAAATGACTAGATTAACTTAAATAAATATCCATTGTTAGTATAAAATTGACGCCTTAGAAAAGCATGCGCCTCTGAAGCGTATGGTTATCTTTTACGCTGTCTCTTATACACATCTTACATTAACCCGAGAAAGATAACCTTCGTCGCAGAGGCGCCTGCGAAGACTGTTGATTTTTGTTAATTTTTCATAGAGGTCTAGTGATTTAAGTTTAAAATTACTTAAAATATAAAAAAATATAATATAAATGCATTTTATTTTTACAATAATGCCAAACCTTTAAAATGACTAGATTAACTTAAATAAATATCCATTGTTAGTATAAAATTGACGCCTTAGAAAAGCATGCGCCTCTGAAGCGTATGGTTATCTTTTACGCTGTCTCTTATACACATCTTACATTAACCCGAGAAAGATAACCTTCGTCGCAGAGGCGCCTGCGAAGACTGTTGATTTTTGTTAATTTTTCATAGAGGTCTAGTGATTTAAGTTTAAAATTACTTAAAATATAAAAAAATATAATATAAATGCATTTTATTTTTACAATAATGCCAAACCTTTAAAATGACTAGATTAACTTAAATAAATATCCATTGTTAGTATAAAATTGACGCCTTAGAAAAGCATGCGCCTCTGAAGCGTATGGTTATCTTTTACGCTGTCTCTTATACACATCTTACATTAACCCGAGAAAGATAACCTTCGTCGCAGAGGCGCCTGCGAAGACTGTTGATTTTTGTTAATTTTTCATAGAGGTCTAGTGATTTAAGTTTAAAATTACTTAAAATATAAAAAAATATAATATAAATGCATTTTATTTTTACAATAATGCCAAACCTTTAAAATGACTAGATTAACTTAAATAAATATCCATTGTTAGTATAAAATTGACGCCTTAGAAAAGCATGCGCCTCTGAAGCGTATGGTTATCTTTTACGCTGTCTCTTATACACATCTTACATTAACCCGAGAAAGATAACCTTCGTCGCAGAGGCGCCTGCGAAGACTGTTGATTTTTGTTAATTTTTCATAGAGGTCTAGTGATTTAAGTTTAAAATTACTTAAAATATAAAAAAATATAATATAAATGCATTTTATTTTTACAATAATGCCAAACCTTTAAAATGACTAGATTAACTTAAATAAATATCCATTGTTAGTATAAAATTGACGCCTTAGAAAAGCATGCGCCTCTGAAGCGTATGGTTATCTTTTACGCTGTCTCTTATACACATCTAGATGTGTATAAGAGACAGATCAAACGGTTTGGTAGTTCCGTGTTAAGAAAATTCCGAACCTCCAAGTGCCAATGGGGTAAAAAGTAAAACTAGCACATTTTCCCGTTATACTCGTGTTTGAATTATAATTTTCTGTGTGTAATTTTTTAAAATATAAATTTTTGAAATCGGATGATTCTATCCGGGGAACCCTGTATATCTAAATTCCAGCTTTCTGTCATCACATGCTTCTTCTTTACCATTATCTTAGACGAACCATGCAAAACAAAAAAAAGCAAAACCGCTGCTGTACCACGCACTACGATATAGATCCAGGAAATCCATAACATACACCCTTCAGGGCCATGGTGAAAGTATTGGGTTGTCCGGAAAGTTCGAGCCGATTTTTTCGGAAAATTAAAACGCAGCTCATTTAAATATTGGAGCCAAGCTTCACAGTATGATCGTGGATGGTTGATTTTGATTTATTTAGCATTCCTGCTAATCGACGTAATGTTGAGCGTGCGTTATGCTCGATTTCTGTTCTAACCATATCTTCGTCTGTGGTGGACGACCTACCTGGGCGTTCTTTATCTTCAAGGTCGAAATTTCCGGCTTTAAACCGAGCAAACCACTTCCGCACAGTTCTTTCGGCGACAGCATCCTCGCCATAAACAGCGCATATCTTATTTGCCGCTTGTGTGGCATTTTTGCCATTTCGGAAAAAAAGCATTAAATGCCTATAATGCACTTTATTTGCCACCCTATTCTAAGGCGTACAAAACTGATAAAAATGAACGAATCGTAACCAAGCTTTTTTCCAAAAATATGGCTGAAGTTATCTCTTTTAGAATATGTACACATGTCATTTGTTTTCAATAATTGTGATATATTCAGTCAGGTCTCTCACGCTACCTACCGAAAATCGGCACGAACTTTCCGGACAACCCAATACAACAGAATGTATGTATTCAGACGTCATCCAATGAGTAGGAGCCGTAGGAGCGGTCATCTTTCAGAGCTAATTCGAATTTCTAAAACGAAGCTGCAGATGCTTTGGGATCGGCGATCATTGTGTCGTGGTTCCATTACTACCGTGAGATGATCGTCAATCTTTTCATCAAGATTCAGTTGTATAAGGCGAAATTAAGGGGGTATATTTCGGTATCCGTTGCAGTTTAATTAAAATCTCTTTCGCAAGTATCCTATCGATGTCCTTATCGTTTATTACAGCTCTACTATAAATGTGGCCTAAATCTTAGGATTTAAGATAGGGCCTGCTAGAAATAGTCTTACTGACTGGACAAGCCCTTCTTGCATATCCTGATATGCGTACACGTTTCTGGCAACGCCGCCTGGAAGGTACTCGTCCAGGTGTTCTAGCACCTTTTCCTCTTTCCACCAACAGCGGTTACCACCTCTCCAGACAGGTAACGACCGATGTGCCGGTTGCCGGCGAGAACGAGGCTGACTTCGGCGACTGACTGCCTACGACTCCTCTGTATGCTGGTATCGCGGTATTTAGGCCAACTTTTCATGCGACATCGTTGGATCGAGAGATCATGGGACTACCTCGCGCCAGGAGCAACGCGGATTTTAGTGAAATTCCTGTGCGAGAAATTGTTGCAGCAATTCTAAGCGCAGAATCGAAGGGCTTGCTGCAACAACAAGGCAGCTCTACTTTTTACACTTTTTTTTTCTATATCCTACTTCGTTCGAAAAATTATGGTCTTTCACTTGGTGTCAAGTGGAGGTAGCTTCGAGTAATTAGCACATATGATGGTTTCGGAACAGATGGCATTGCGTGTTTAATATGATTGACGCAATAAAGAAGCTACATGAACCAACGCTTTATTTCATCACTAAAATATTTTCGCTCTTGAACACATCCGTTACGGTAAAGATCACAATAGATTGCGCCCCTTTTTAAATATCTGTAATGTTACGTCTTGCAATCTGGCAACTTCTAAAATGTCATGAGAAAAGATCATTCATTTCATGACATGAATATTGAAAAGTTAAAAGTATTAACATGAATATTAGTTAATCTTGAATTTCTAGTTTGAATAAAATGTGATTTCACATCCCTTTCTGTTGATTTATTGAAATTAATCGATAATTGGACTGCAATGAATTAAATGCTCAACCTCTTAATTTCCTTTATGGTGGGTTAACACGTTCCTACTGTAATTGATTCCACGCAAAAAATCAAGAAATTTTGACTGATTTTTGTAAAATAACTCAATTAAGGGGTTATAATAATAATAATAATATAACACGTACATAATATAAATCATTTAAGGGATTATATGAGGAATCTTTGCTTTGATCGAAAGAGTAGGACGGTTTAGTATGTAGGTAAGACGAATTATAGCGCGGTTTCTTTCTAATTGTAAAATACAGGGGATTACTGAAGTTAGCATGCATTCTTCCTCCGTTATGTAGGGTAATACATCATGTGACATCGTTGGAAAGCACCCGATTCTCCTGCATCAGAAGTAGTCCTTTAATGAAATATAAGGAACGATAATAATTGCACTTCTTCTTAGGTCAATATCTATTTAAGTCAATATTTGTTGTAATAACAACGATATCGAAATTAGTCAGGCATCGTTATATAAATTTTGTTAAAACGAATACTTGAACTAGCAATCTTTCTGCCATAGTTCTCTTCTTAATGTCACATCATTGATTTTTTACTTTGTAGTACGTCCTTTTAGCAAAACATTTTTTCATAAAGCAGACAAATTTCTAAAGTTAATCATTTACAGAAATTGCCTCTCATATATGAGTAACAGAATTACTTTCTCAGATTTGTAATTAAATTTTGACGTTAATATATTCAGTCTAACAAATTCTGTCGAGAATGTTTATTTTATTTAAGTCAGGCGATCGTTAGGCAATTTTTATATCATTAAATAAATTACTTTTATTCCATAAAATTTTACAAATTCAGTGCACAGGAAATGTTTTTATAAGGATTATTGAGAAATTAGTAGAGT